CCTAAACCCTAAACCCTATTCTAAGGCCATCTTCCTGGTCTGCAGTGCCTTGGGCATCAGAGACGAGAGACGGGGGGGCGCTGGGGCTCTGCTGTTCCTGAAAGCTTCCTTAAAAGGGCTCCTGGTTCAGGGGTTAAGGGGTTTAGGGGTTTGGGGTTTAAGGGTTTAGGGTTTAGGATTTAGGAGTTTAGGAGTTTAGGGGTTTAGGGTTCAGGGGTTTGGGGTTTAGGGTTTGTTTCTGTTTGGGGGGATGTTCGGCATCAGAGACGAGAGAGGGGGGTTTGGGGGTTCATGCAAGGTTCCTTCAAAGGCTTCTCTTTGGGCACCGCGGGCTTTTGGGGTGTAGGGTCTAGCGCGTTCAGGGGTTTAAGGGTTTTTAGACGGGGGTTTGGGCCCTAGACCCTAAACCCTAAACTTCGGGGGTTTGGGCGTGCCCTAGACCCTAAACCCTAAACTTCGGGGTGAGGGGTCCTTTAAGGGTGCCTTTTATATGAGGGTTTAGGAACCTGACCTGGGGCTTTGAAGCCGAGGGATGCTCAGGACGGAGTGTTTTGCCCAGAAACCCACCGGGGCACCCTGGTTTAGGGTTTAGGGTTTAGGGTCCTCTACTTAAAGGTTCATGGGACTTAGTAAGTAGGGTCAGGGTTTAGGGTTTAGGGTTTAGGGTTTAGGGTTTAGGGTTACTTAAAGGATCGTGCGACTTAGTAATTATAAGTAGGGTTATAATTAAGGTAACTGCACTTCTATTTACTTAGAACCCCAATTAAGGGACTTATAACTTTACTTACTAAGTCCCATGATCCTCCAAGTACTTTATGGCACCCACCAAAGGAGCCCAACCCTTCTGAAGTGCCTCAAGGACCGCAGGAAGGCGACGGGTGCTTCGAGCTTTAAAAGCCCCTTATAAGCCGCAAGAAGATCTAGAAGCCCTACGTTTCATCCTATAAACCTTGTAGGCCCTAAAAACCCAAGAAAATCTATAAGCTCAAGCTCTATAGGCTTTTTTTACACCCTAAACCCACAAAAGGCGACCATTGCTTCGAGAACTTTGGAAGGAACCCTTACAGAAACTTTTAAAACACAACCGACCCTTAAAGGATCTCTGGGTTATAGAGCCCTTAAAAGGAAAGGCATAGCCCCATACACTCCCCACCCAGGCCAGCAATCTGAACCCTCAAAGGAGCCCGAAGCTCAAAAACCTAACCCCTCAACCCTACACCCTAAACTCTAAACCCTCTAAACCCTAAACTCTAAACCCTCTAAACCCTCTAAACCCTAGGCTCTAAACCCTCTAAACCCTAAACCCTGAACCCTCTTAGAGGCTCTAGGGTTCGAGCCCTAAGCTCCTAAGCCCTAAACCCTAAAGCTTCAGGCGAGCAGTGCTTCGAGAACCCAACATATGCATCCTGGCTGTGGCAGCTGCGAGGGCTCGAGGCTGCCACGGGCGGTTTAGTGTTTAGGGTTTAGGGTTTAGGGTTTGGGGTTTAGGGTTTAGGGTTGGCTTTAACAAAAGCATTCACGGCTGAAGGTTTAGGATTTAGTTTAGGGTTTATATGGGTATAGAGTGAGCGTGCAGTGGGTGCGCTTTTTACTTTAGGAATAGGGGTGCACTCACTTATCGCGCGTTGGCTCTACGGTTAAGCTAGTGCTTCGGACTTAGATTGTCGGATTCAAGGTTTAGTGCTTAGGGTTTAGGGTTTAACCTTTAAGGTTTCGGGCTTGGGTTTCGATTTGTTGGGCTCAGGTCTTAGAGCTCAGGGCTTCGATCTTTAGACTTTAGGGACTTTAGGGGTCTGGCTTGGGGTTTAGGGTTTAGTAGGGTCCGAAACACGGGAATACTGTAACGGGCCTCAAAACTTGGAAGAGGGCTTGGGGGTTTAGGGTTTAGGACCTCAATGCAGCTTGGGTGGAGTAATCATACTACCTTACCTGATGCCAGAAGCCATG